CCAGAGCAAAAGAGGTCTCTTGTTCTCTCGGGGCTGGTTCAGATTGAGATCTATTCTTGCATTTTTAATCTTGTATTACCTATTTGTTCATTTATTACATTTGCACCCCATTCTTCCTCCCAAAGTCGCCCAAGGCACCAAACATCAGAATAGTAAAACGGTCAGGTTTGCCAGTTCAGAAGCACCCCAGAACCTCAGATTTCAAAGCCCAAACCTGAGACCTGGGGGGCGGAGGGGGGGGCGGTCCTTGGTGATGTCACACACCTGCCACCATGTTGAATCCCAAAACCGGGAAGTTCATCTTCCCAGCTGTGCTACCATGTGAGTCATGTGACCCGCATGAGATCTCAGCCTCTCCAAAAAGCACATTTTGAGGGCGAGTTCTCGGTGTGAAATCATTGCGCCCAAAATGGCCGCCGTGCTCTTGCATAAAAATGGGATGTCTCGGTTTTTCCGGGACACTTGCGGGGTATGATGTCACAGGGGGGAGCCTAGAGAAGGAAGTTGATTGGAAGAGGGGCATAGATGAGGGCAGGCACAAACGCCTAAACATTTCTGTGCTATGATTTGCAGCCAGCTCCTGTCAGACTGAAGCTTTTACGTTGCATGCACAATCTTCTCTCTCTCTATATATATAAATATATATAATTTAAGGCCCTCTCACCCATCTGAAGATGCAAACCCCACCCACCTGCCAGAGGCCAGGCAAACCCAGAGGCTTCGGGGTAAACCTACGCACTAAAGCAATAGAATTTAAACGAGAGAGAAAAACCCTATTTAAAACATTTAGAAAACATCTCAAAACATTCAGAGCAATGGCTCCCAAACTTCTCTCTCCCCCACAGACCACTTTAAAATTCCTGATTTTCCTGGCAGACGACATAATGATTTTTCTGCCTGTTGCGGCAACTGAAATGCGCTGTGTTAGATGCTATATGATTTTTAATTCTGTTTCCATTGCTGCTTTTATTTCTTATACGGTACTTTACCGTATTTCAATAGAAATTAAAATGGCAATATGCTATAAGATATAAAAGAAGAAAAATGCAGTTTAAAACCATATTTAATGAAGACCTCCTGAACGTAAACTCATTCCACAGGCCACAAAGGGAACCCCCGATTCAGAACATCTCAAAACATTTAAAAGCAATCGCATAGCCACACAGTTATTAATTTCAGGGTTGCTATGGATTGCTATTGGGTTCAGCAACTTCCATTTACAGCAAAGTTTGTAAGCCAGGCAATGACGTCCCTCTGCCACCAGCATCTGGTATTCACAGGTACACTGATTCCAGATATGGAGGTTCTACTTGGCAATGACAGCTGATAGGAGGGGCTGTGGATAAGTCAGCCTCCCCCAACCTGGTGCCCTCCAGAGATTGTGGACCATCAATCCCCGCCAGAACAGCCAGTGAGTCTCTGGGTGTGCATTGTGGTCCAAAATAACTCAAAGGCACCTGGCTGGGATACATGAAGCTGATGAAAGTTGTGTTTTTTTTAAACAAAAAACCAATACTTATGAAGTAGCATGCTCCATATTTTCTGTTCCTTGGCAGACAAATATAGGATTATTCTTCTTTTTTATTTTACAGTGGTACCTCATGTTACAGACGCTTCAAGTTACAGACTCTGCTAACCCAGAAATATTACCTCGGGTTAAGAACTTTGCTTCAGGATGAGAACAGAAATATGAGGTGGTGGCGCAGCAGCAGTGGGAGGCCCCATTAGCTAAAGTGGTACCTCAGGTTAAGAACAGTTTCAGGTTAAGAACGGACCTCCAGAACGAATTACGTTTTCCCTGGAGTTCATAAGGATTATGTTTTCCCTGGAGTTCATAAGGATTACGTTTTGCCCTACTGGCCCTCATCCAGCCAGCTCCTGATTCCAAGCAACGACTGAGGAATTCCAGCACCGCACTGGGATTTGAGGAGGAGGAAGAAGAGAACAGCAAGTGGGTTGTCACCAGCATACTAATGACATGGAACACCAAATCGACTGACTAGACACTCGCCTGCCAGTGGTTTCTAAATGTCCACATAAAAGCATAGTGCACTGGTTCCTGAGCTGGGCGATATCTGGTTTTCAACAGTGTGATATATCACCAGCTAAACATCATGATATACCGATATATCACGATGTCTGGACTAAGGATGGAGCTATATAGAGGCATTGGATGGCTTCACGTTTTTTTCCACATTGTGATTTTTTCATAGCACACACACGCACACACCATGATTCATGATATATTGCCAGGTCAAAAATCATGAAACCAATATCACGATACGGACTTCAAACCGGTTTTGGACAATATATTGATATACAGTGGTCCCTCGGTTTTTTAATGTCTCTGTTGACAAACGTTTCAGTTTTCGAATGCAGTAAACCCAGAAGTAAATGGTTCCATTTTCGAACACGCCTCGGAAGTCGAACGGCTTCCGCTGAGTGTATATGTGCTTTTTTCTCCATTTTCTTTATTAAGTTTTCAGACCGTCCTTTGCACCTCGGGTTTCGGAACTCAAACGGTCTTCCGGAACGGATTGTGTTTGAAAACCGAGGTACCACTGTTATCACCCAGCCCTAAGCGCTTCACAAACCACGGGCCTCTTGAATATCGCTGCAAGTCTCAGTGGCTGCCCCCTTGCCCTGCAAGAAACCAAAGGGCTAACTTTTAAATGGTTAAAGCCTCAGTTTGGAATGTTCTAAAGACTAGAAATGAATGAACCAATCTGATCCAATCACAAACCAATGTGCATAGGGCAGTCATATTGCAGGATCAGTAGCAGGTACCCTCAGATCCTGACGACACAGGAAAGCTGCACCTGCAGAACTTCCATGATGGAAGGTTTTCCACTTTGCACGCTGCCAGGTTCTTTATTCTCCCAAACAGTCCCTGGTGGTGTTTTAAGCCCACTTAACAGCAAAGTCCCATTTTAGAAATGATAAGTTATCTGTTCTCTGATGAACGCACTCGTTTGACCGAAAGAGATGTTTCCACAATGCCTTGGCAGCCTCAGTAAAAAAGAAAGAATTGTTTCAGATTTCACCACTGGTTGCCAAAGTGATGATTTTAAATTCGAAAAACTCATTGCTATACTTGGCTATTACTGAAGAGGATCACCTCAGCTCACACATACCCACTCAATCACTTCAATTTGTGGAATGGGCAGGTTTATGAGTGCCATATAATGTTCATTCCACACATGGAAAGAATTCATCTTTCTTTGTGGAACTGTTGGAACTCCCTGCCCATTGTAGGCAAATTCACTGCATTGTTTTCGGCCCCTACTAAAAAACCAAATTCTCCAGGCAAGCCTACCCAGACATGTTATTTTAACGCAAATGTTTATTTTAAAACCACTGATTATATTTATATCTGGATAAATTTTACGCCAACGTGTTTTCAACAGGTGCTTTTATCAGTACACTATTACATTTTGTTAAAACCGTTTAGAGGTTTTTGCTGAGCAAGCAGTTACATTAAAAAAAAAATCTGTCATTCATCATTTCGGTTTTAAACCTAAGATTTCTTATTATTATCCTGAAATACAAAGTTTGGGAGCTTATATTTCTGAAATCTCTTCTCCACCCCACCCCCCGCTTCTTGGAAAGTTGCAATGGCCACTAAACCATCGTTCCTTCTGGCCAACAATAGTAAATGGCCAATTTATTTACTGTTATTACCGTATTTTTCGCACCATAGGGCGCACCGGACCATAGGGCGCACCCAGTTTTTAGGGGGGGAAATCAAGAAAAAAATCTTTTCCCCCCCAGCCCCAAAGAGCAGCGTACAGGGTGCGCACAACCTCTCCCTGCCGGAGGGGTTGCGAGCAGCTATGGAGCAAGCCAAGTTTTGGCTTCCCCTTTAGCCCCATGCAGCCTCTCCTTGCCGGGAGACGCTGCACAGGGCTAAAGAGGCCATAGCCCCATGCAGCCTCTCCTTGCGGAGGGGTTGCGCGCAGCTATGGAAGAAGGCAAGGCAGCAAGCGGGATGGATCCCGCTCGCTGTTTTGCCTTCCCCTTTAGCCCCGCGCAGCCTCTCCTTGCGGAGGTGTTGCGCGCGGCTATGGAAGAAGGCAAGGCAGCGAGCGGGATGGATCCCGCTCGCTGTTTTGCCTTCCCCTTTAGCCCCGCGCAGCCTCTCCTTGCGGAGGTGTTGCGCGCGGCTATGGAAGAAGGCAAGGCAGCGAGCGGGATGGATCCCGCTCGCTGTTTTGCCTTCCCCTTTAGCCCCGCGCAGCCTCTCCTTGCGGAGGGGTTGCGCGCGGCTATGGAAGAAGGCAAGGCAGCGAGCGGGATGGATCCCGCTCGCTGTTTTGCCTTCCCCTTTAGCCCCGCGCAGCCTCTCCTTGCCGGGAGATGCTGCGCAGGGCTTTCCTGGCTTTTCTGGGAGGTGGGGGAATTCCCCCACCTCCCGCAAAACCGGCAGAAGCCGCGCGCACTTTAAAAGGGCTGCACGGCTTCTTCTGGCTTTCCTGGGAGGTGGGGGGATTCCCTCACCTCTCGCAAAAGCCCGCAGAAGCCGTGAGCTCTTTAAAGGGGCTGCGCGGCTTCTCCTGGCTTTTCTGGGAGGTGGGGGAATTCCCCCACCTCCCGCAAAACCGGCAGAAGCCGCGTGCACTTTAAAAGGGCTGCACGGCTTCTCCTGGCTTTCCTGGGAGGTGGGAGAAGGGACTGATGCGGCCAGTCAGTCCCTTCTCCCTCCTGTGGAAAAGCCCGCAAGAGCGCACGGAGCTTGTGTGCGGCTCTTGGGGGCTTTTCCCGCCTGCCTCCCCCCCTGCATTCGCTCCATAGGACGCACACACATTTTCCCTTGCTTTTTAGGAGGGAAAAAGTGCGTCCTATGGTGCAAAAAATACGGTAAATAAATAATATTTTTTAAAATGTATTAATATGACATTTTTCCACCATCTGTTTGGGAGTCACTCAATTTGTCACAATTTCGGAATTCTGAGGCAATATTTCAACCTCTCCGAAAAGCTGGGCGGAAAGAAAAGACTCACCAGGACGCGGTCTCCAAGCCGGAAGTCTTTGTCCCCTTTCTTCACTGACCCGCTGTCCGAGAGGTTCGACCCGGACTCGTTCCCCGTTTTCATTGTGCTGTTGAGGACGCTTTCCCTGAGAGGGATGATGCGCGTGGAGAGAGGCGGGTAGACGTCCCCGAGTGCAGGGACAAGTTCTGAGCCGTCAGCGACTCCACGGAATGCGCGTCGCTTCCGGAACCTTCCGCGGTGGGCTGGCGGGTCAGCTTGGAAGGCCTCGTGAAGATCCCCTGCAGGGGCTGGCACTCAAAGTAGCGGACCCCACCCACCGAGCCATCGTTCTTCCCCACCAGGTCATCCAGCACGACGCCCGCCCATTGTCCGGGCGCAAACTGAGTCTCCCCCAGGTATTGTACCACGCCTGGCTTCACACCGTTCACCCAGACACGTTCTCCCACCACGAAGTCCCCCAGGAAGTCATCGCCCACCTCGGTGACTTTGGACCCTGCGGGCTTCTCGGGGGCAGCTGTGGAAGAAGAAGAAGAAGCGGAGGTCTGCTTATGCAGAGGCGACCCTGTAAAAATAAAATAAAGGGACATGAAAACAAAGCCTTCAAGCAAGGAAGGCCCTATTGATGCCTGCCCTGGAGACGAGAAGATCAAGAGGGGGCATTTATTTTAATTGTTTCACACCATCGCGGAAGAAGAAGAGGTCCCAAGGATCATTTATGTACCGTGCCATATTAGAAGCAAAAAAAACTTGTTTTGATGAATTGGAAGAGCCGCAAAAAAGGAAGGCACTTTCTATCATATGTGGTGGTATGTAAAAGAAGAAAAATGATTTATAATGAATTGAAGAAAATGTTTTAAGATAACCTTTAGGGATTGTGAATACAGAGATTCTGAAGGACCTTTAAAATTTGCTGTTGTATGCCACAACTGCAGCCAGAATGGCGCTTGCCCACAGGTGGGAAGAAGATGCTATGCCAACAAAGGAAGAGTGGCAGATTAAATTGATGGATTCTGCTGAAATGTCAAAACAGACGGGTGTAATAAGAAACCAAGAGAAAAAGATATTTATTACAGAATGGGAAAAATTTGAAGAATATCTGAAAAGTTCTGGCATGCAAATAAGTTCCTTAGTAGGATTAACTTAAATCAAGCAGTTAAAAATATTACTAAGATAAAATAATAACTTAAAAATGGAGTAAAGTGGAATATGCAGTGTTAAAAATCTAAAGTAGAAAAGGAACCACAAAAGGGGCGGGGGAGGGAAGTCAAATATGTAACTGTATTCGAAATATGTGTTTGCAAGGTGTGTATTTGGAATCTTGTGAATAATGAAAAATATATTTTTTAAAAAAGGGGGGAGGGGAGAGAAGGGATGGGAAGCAAACTTGGGTACCAATTCTTAAATTCAAATGTCTGAAGAGTTGCGACACCGGATACTGGAGAAGATTTGTTCCCTGTTGTTGCTGTACCCAACAGGTGGAAACAGCGGGGAAGAAGATTAGGGGGAACAATTCCTATCAGTAAGAGCTGTTCAGCTGCCTGAGGAGGTGATGGTCTCTCCTTCGACCGGGCTATTTAAGCAGAGGCTGGGCAGCCATCTGTTGGGGATGCTGTTGCCGCATCCTGCACTGAGCAGCGGGTCAGACTACATGACCCCCGGAGGACCCTTCCAACTCTCTGATCCAATTATTCTAGCTCATGCTCTGCCGCTCCTCATTTCCTACAGCTCTGTAAAGGAGTTTAAACGGGCCTGACAGATTCCCCCTTCCAACTCCCAAGGCGGCCAACACGCCAGCAGCAGTGCCTGGGGATCAAAATGGGAAAGAAAGAAAGGTGTTATGCTTCAGCTGGTGCCAGGCATCCTTCACGAGGTTTCTGCACTTATGAGCATTAGGTTTTAAAGCACAGGTGACCTTCAAATTTACAGGTATGCAACGGGAGGCCTGTGGCCAAAAGAATCTGGCCTGCAGGCAAAAGTGGCAGCGAAAAAATCCTTAACCATTTGGTTTGGAGGGGGGGTCTGTGTGACAAGAACAGGGCAGTTTTAACTCCCCCTCCCCACCCCACCAACATTTCCCATCGGCGTCCGAATCTCGCGTTTAATCCTGTTATGCCTGTGTGACGGGTCTGTGCCAAGACGGCCAGCTGTCAGGCGGTGCAGAACGGGCCACGTAGCAGCCCAGTTTCCATGGTTATCTGGTAAAGATGGAACGGGAGGGGGGAACGAAGTCCGGATTCTAAGCACCACAAATATCAGACTTTCTCCAAGACCCACGTTTTGCGAGGGGGCGTGTGCGAAGAGCCCAAAGGGGTACTTTGCAAGGTAGGGGGGTGGGCAAGGGCAAATAGTCTAAAGATCCCCTTCTTTCAATTTAAATAAAAAGTACACTTCTACTATTTGGCTTAAGTGGGTGTCACCCAATCTTTATCATCCACTGTTTTTATATGTTGACTTTTTAATATTTAATGTTTTATTATGTTTTTATATGTTGACTTTTTAATATTTAATGTTTTATTATGTTTTTATATCTGTTGGAAGCTGCCCAGAGTGGCTGGGGACAATCCGGTCAGCCGAGTACAAACAAACAAACAAACAAACAAACATAATAATAATAATAATAATAATAATAATAATAATAATAATAATGAAGCTGAGATATGGAGCAAAATGTGCAGGAAGTATTATAGGAAGTATTATTGCCACCATGAATTCATTCACCCTCTTCTACACAATCAAGGCGTTGCAGAGAAAAAAGCAGCAAAATCTGTTAAACACACGCAAATAACCAATACATTTTAAAGACTACAAAACAGACACGCATGCAGAAGAACCATTTGCCCATTCATTTTGCAAGAAACTCGTATACTGGCTGATTTGGGAGTATTTGCTCCCCCATCCACCCCGGAAAAATTCCCGCAGGTGCCCATGCAAAGCCTATGAGCATCTCCCCAGTCAGGGACCATAATTTAGTTTTCATGCCAATAGCCCCCTGGGTTCAAGCCAAGGTGCCTGCAGGTAAATTTGTCCACAGGGAACAGGAGAGGCCTCTCCTTCAGACCCCAGAGAATGCTTTAAATTAACTCAGACTCTTGGGTTCATCCAGTTTAGCGCTGTCCACACTGAATGGCAGGTCTCCAGGGATTTCGCCTCTCCCAGCCTTACCTGGAGAGATGCTGGGGACTGAAACTGTGGCCTTCTGCATGGGGTCAGCCTGGATAGCTCAGTTGGTTAAAGCGTGATGCTGATAATGCCAAGGTTGCAGGTTCGATCCTCATATGGGGACAACTGCATATTCCTGCAATTGCGGGGAGTACTAAGAGATTGGGCGGCCTCTGAAATCATCCTCTTCCGAAGTAGCAATTTAAACAGAGGAAATCTGACAAACAATTGTTTTTATCCCTTTCTGGTGGAACCCCCCACTTCTGCGTCTCCTCCTCGTCTTCCTCTCACCTTTCCCCAGAATTTAGACTGTAAGCTCCTGGGGGCAGAGACCTCTACCCTTGTACTCTTTAAAGCACTGTCCCGCTGCAGGGAAGCCTTAAGACTAGGATAATCAGAGGGTGTTTTAAAGAAACAAGCAGCCAGTGCAAAGATGGAGGTGGAGTTGAAAGGAGGAGAATAATCATCAGCCAGAGAGCTCAGCTGCTCACCCTGAGGAATAAAATATATGCTCGTTCGTGGGACCAGCCTCCAGGCTTAGTGCCTCATTGTTTAGGCACAAAATTATCTTCAGGCTTCGTGCACAAAATTATCTTCGCTCCTGAAGGTCTCGTGGGGTGAGCTGTCTTAGCGGCCACCCGCCCGGGCCTCACACTCTGCAATCAGAAGCTGGAGTTGGGCCTGTACAAAACCCAGCCATAAATGTGCGGTATGTGAGTATTTAAAGAGTTATCGGCTCTGTGGTGCCCAAAACAAAACTCACAAGCAAGTGAGATGGCTCAGTTGGTGAGGATTAAGACTTTTAATCTCAGGGTCATGGGTTCGAGTCCTGCATTGCAGGGGGTTGGAGTAGATGACCATCGGGGTCCCTTCCAGCTGTTCAATTCTGTGATTCTATTATGTGATCCAGCGGGCTCTTCTTGCATTGATATATAACAAGCATCCCTCTCAGGCCCAGACTTCTCATCTATCTGTCCCCTAAACTAAAAACCCCTCTCCAAATGTTGGTAACTTCATAGACTCTCTTTCCAAATGTTCCAATTTTTTTAAAAAAGGCATCCCAGCACTTAGGAATCCTCACCACAATCTAAATGGGTAGCCCAACCCAATTTGCTGCCATAAAGCTTCAGCGAGGAAGGGGATTGCACCCCCCCCAAAAGCAATTACAAGCAACTCATAAAAACCACACTTTTTCTAAAGATAAAAAGATAGCTAATCAAACAAACTGATTGCGCTATCGTTGCTTCTAGAAGATACGCTGGTATCAATTACTATTGCACAGTGAGCTTTTTCAAAAAAAAACCAAACACAAAAAGATGGGGGAACAGATTTGCAAATACAGTGGAGTTTGCTGATGCTTCGAGGGCACACAACAGACAGGAGTGGATTCAGCAGCTGGCAGGCATCCATTTACGCCAAGCCTGGGCAGCCAATAAAAAGCTGCATTATTTTTTTTTCAAAAATTTGACCAGAAACTGTAAAGAAGCACTGTACGTTAAAAGCAATAAAGAGCCAATTGTGCACGATTCATTTCACGCCCTGGGGATCAACAGTTTTCATTGTACGGAGTGTCCACTGCTATTTTAAAGGGGGCGGAGAGGGGTGGAGGGGCGAGAGAGACAGAAGAGAGGTTTTAAAAAGAAAGCTTCTCCTTCGCTGCAAGAATTCAGGATTGAAACTAAAATCAGGGACAAGTTTGTGATTCAGTACATTGGAAGTGTGGTTGTGTTAGTTAGTTAGTTAGTTAGTTAGTTAGTTAGTTAGTTAGTTATACAAAAAGGATCATTTTACAGGAAACAAATTGCCCAACAATCTTCCAAGATGGAGCCTAGATGTTAACAGCACTTCAAAGTATGTTAAGTTCCTGTTGGGGATGGATATATCTGTCCATTTCGGTTCCATTTTTCCAGTTTTAAGTTCAGTTCCTCCACATTTCCACAGTCCGTTCACAAACTTCTTTATTCAAAGGTCCTCATGAAAATTCATCAGCATTTTCAGGACAAGTTTCTCCATGTTTTTGTAAAGCGAATTTCCCTAATATATTGCATTTCTGCACATACTGTTATCACTATCCTAGCGTGTGTGGTTTTTTGTGTACCCCGTACTTGGCTGAAGAAGTGCACTTCAAAATTCAGAGATGTGCACATTCGTTGGGATGGCTGCATGCATTGTTTCAAACGGTGCAGATTAAAGGATAACTGAATCCAATTTCCTCCTCATCCCTCATTTCTGCTCACATTACTACATACAAAAATAAAAAAATTCAGGCCCATTTATTTTTGCGGCCTGTTCTTAAGGCTGAAAATCTTGGGTGTAAATTCCACAGGGTTTAACTATGACTGAGCTGTGGAAGAGAGGAAGAATTGCACTTTAGTAAACTAAGCGCAGATTAAAATTGCATTGACTAACTGGAGAAATGGCTCCCCAAAATTCCTACTTAACCACCACTGGGTGACTGGCTATTCCCAGGCTAAATAGAGGTGGCCTGGCAGGTTACCACAATGGATCAAAAAGGCTGAGAAAAGGGTGATAGACCAAAGAGAGAGAGAAAAAGAGAGGAAAGGGTGATTGTGCTTTATAAAGTTCCCCCACCCACTGACCTAACACCTCGTTAGAAATCCGCCGTGTGTTAAAAATAAACCAATTTATTGTATAAATATCAACGATGGTAACAATGTACAGATGCCTCCTGTGAAATTTTGTACACTACTTTTTGGAATTCTTAGTAACTTTTCAGTGCCAAGTGAGAATATCAAATGACCTTGAGGAGAACATCCCGATATTTATAGACGACACAATTACTTTAAAGGTTATGTTACAAAGGTTCTCTTATTTTTGAACTGTATATGGGTATTATTTCTCCCCCTTTTTTTCTTTCCCTCCTCTTTTCACGTCACACACACACATACACACACACAAAATGTTACAACTCTCCAATATTCCAGTGGTACCTCAGAAGTCGAACAGAATCCGTTCCGGAAGTCCGTTTGACTTCCAAAACATTTGGAAACCAAGGCGTGGCTTCCGATTGGCTGCAGGAAGCTCCTGCAACCAATTGGAAGCCACGGAAGTTGCATCAGACATTTGGGTTCCAAAGAACGTTTGCAAACCGAAACACTCACTTACGGGTTTGTGGTGTTCGGGAGCCAAAATGTTCGACTCGCAAGGCGTTTGGGATCCAAGTTACAACCGTATTATTATTTTTATTCATCCTAGGGCTTGTGAATGCAGCTTCCAAGTTTTGTTCCTTCTCTGTGTGCATGTTTAATTTTTATTTTTGCACTGTTTTCCCTTTATGCTTTTTTTAAAAAAACACCACTCTGTTATTAAACAAATTGTGTTTTCAGTTAAAGCAGTATCAAAAAAGGAGAGGACACATCGCAGACACCTTATAAAGGTCCCTTCCTCACGGACCACCCAGTGCAGTGATGGCCAAACTTGGCCCTCCGGCTGTTTTGGGACTACAACTCCCATCATCCCTGGCTAACAGGACCAGTGGTCAGGGATGATGGGAACTGTAGTCTCAAAACAGCTGGAGGGCCAGGTTTGGCCATCGCTGACCTAATGCCTCTTGTTGGAAAGCCAAAATGGCCGCCACGAATCCCCCGTTCAACTCTCTGCTGTGGCCAGACGCTGTTTCTTACCTTCTTTTGTGGTGGTGGAGGCAGTGGTGGAGGTGGTGGTAGTGGCTGCTGTCCCTCCAGGGCGTCCCACGGGGCTGGAGTGCTTCCCAGCCCTCCCGGGAATTTTAAGTCCACTTGGTTTCAGCATGCTGGCCCAGGTCCGTGGCTCAAGCCAAGGGATTCGGTCGAACTGCCGGCTGAGGACTTGGTGTCACGATGTCAGGCATCTAGGCAACGGGCCCCCTCATCTATCCTTGGAGACCTGGAGGGGAGCCAAAGAGAAAAATTCAGGGGAAGGAGAAAGAAAAGACCAGCTACAGGAAAAATTGTAAGTGGAATAAAAGTGTGCGTCAAATAGCTCCAGCTCCCACCTTCCCTGACCACTGGCCATGTTGTGGCTGGCACTGATGGGTATCAAAATCAAGTAGAAGCAGTGCATTTTTTCTAAAAAATATATATGTTTGGGGTACTCTCATTTTGACTCAATATCACCATTGACAGGAACACTGTGACAGGAAATGAGGCCGCCATCGGGAGTAGCAATGGAACGGACAATTCACCATACTAGAGAAGAAACTAAAAAAAAAAAAAGTTTCTTCTCCTGTTAGATTCACAAAATGTTTAGGGTTATGCGTACCCCTGCATCCCCCCCAGAAAAAAAGCACTGACTAGAAGGCATCAGGTTGGAGAATACATGAAGCAAGCCAGCTTCTCAAACCATGGTTTGAAAGTGGCTTGTTCCAAAAAAACCACAGTTCTCCACACTTGGTTGGGTGTCAAAACCACCCAACAAGCTGTGGTTATTCAAAAAAGGAAGCCAGAGCTTCCAAATGACTCCAAGCAGTCGCTCCAGAGGAGGAGCACGAGCGCAAGGCTTTACAGAGGCTCACTGCCATCACAATAAACCAAGATTTCCTACGACGTCCAACTGAGGTTTGTGCAAACAAGTGTCTACAGGTTTCATAGTCTGGCAGACTATGGTTTGCCTAAACCAGAAGTTAATTTAGCAGTGCATTGAAAGGAGCAAAGGAAGCAGAGGACTTGTTCCCATAGCAATGAACAAGAGTTCGGCATTACATCCAAAACAACGCGGTGTTACAGATGCTGAACAACAATTGCTTTTGGGGATGGCGCTGTGGTCTAAACCACAGAGCCTAGGGCTTGCCGATCAGAAGGTTGGCGGTTCGAATCCCTGAGACGGGGTGAGCTCCCGTCGCTCAGTCCCTGCTCCTGCCAACCTAGAAGTTCGAAAGCACGTCAAAGTGCAAGTAGATAAATAGATACCACTCCGGTGGGAAGGTAAACGGCGTTTCTGTGCGCTGCTCTGGTTCGCCAGAAGCGGCTTAGTCATGCTGGCCACATGACACGGAAGCTGTATGCCGGCTCCCTCGGCCAATAAAGCGAGATGAGCGCTGCAACCCCAGAGTCGTCTGCAATTGGACTTAACGGTCAGGGGTCCTTTAACTTTACCTTTCAGTTGGCTAATTAGGAGATGATCAATGGGATTCTATAGTTAGGAGATTTGGGGGAAATCCATAGAAGGTAATGCCTTAAGAACAGTAGAGGATGGAGAAAATCTCCATAAAATTGGAACGAGGAGCGTGCTTTGGGTAGTTTCTAGCTAGAAACTGAGGCACAGCCTTCGAGTCTGTACTTATTTGTTCTACTTATTTGTCGTTCTCTCTTTTTGCCAATGCAACCCAAAGCAACTTGCAACAATAAATAAAAACACACACGTTAAAACCATCATAGGCAAATCTAAAAAGCATCCACATTTTTAAAAGGCGGGATCAAAACATCCCTCTCCCCCCCCCCACTCAAGGAGGCCACAGATGATTAAAAAGTCTGGCGAAAAAGAAATGTTTGGGCCTGGCGCCTAAAGCTTTATAATGATGGTACCAGGTGAGCCACTACTGAAAAGGCCTGTTCTTGTGTTGTCGCCCTCTAAACTGATGATAATAGCAAGGTCCGGGGTTGGTTCACATGGGAAGAAACAGTCTTGAGCTGCATAAGCTTTATGGGTCAAAACCAGCGCTTTGAATTGGGCCCAGAAGCTCACTGGCCACCAGGACACAAACGTGTACTCTTTAGGAAGCCGATGCAGAGCTTCTGAGACCCTACCACCCAATTTAGGAGTAGGACTGACTCCCATGCTGTTCCACTTCTACTTTAGCACGCAAAGGAGATTTCCCAGAAAACACCATGCACCTCTGTGGCTTTCTTGTCCAAAGGCAGTCAAATCCTGTGTCCTGCTATGCTCGGGACGTCTCAGAGCAAGATGCATTAAGGACAAACTGTGTTGGGATTCTCTCAGTCTGGCCTGGCAAACACCTCCCCACCCCCCACCCCTACGTCTGCCGCTACTAAGTGAAACGCTGCCAAAAGCCTCCCCCACCAGCTCAGCTTACGCCAAAATCCCCGGCTCATGCCTTAATTACTTCCTGTCTCTCAGCTACTGCCATTCCTGCTTTTATGGTCCTTTAAAAATATTGACTTTGTTAACCCCAGCTTCGCGCACAAGCACAAGGCAAAAGGAGGATAGGGATCCTGTGTGGTCCTCCAGCTCCCATCAGACCCAGTCGGCAAGGCCAATGGTCAGGGATGATGGGAGCTGTAGTCCAACAATATCTTGGAGGACCGCGAGTTCCCCATCTCTGGGCTGGAGCGTTGCGGAGACGTTTCCCCAAGAACCGTACAAAAGGCAAGACTTTAATTTGGTCAGGTCAAACTTCCCTCGCTTATGGCCAAAAGGGTTTTGCAAAGCACAACTTATAAGACACTTGATATCCAACAAGTCACATCTGCAAATGCTGAGTTTCTGCAGCTACATTTTACTCAGAGTAGACCCACTGGAATTAATGGGCCCAAGCTCCATGAAGCTATTGGCGGGGGTAGCTAATCCCTTTGAACAGTGGTTCTCAAACTTCTTTCTAAGGGCCACACTTTCAGAATAAAAATTTGCTCATGCCACAATGAATTTTTTTACTGATAATACACACATTGGAAAAAGAAAAAAACCCAACTCCTAGTGGTGATTTATATCACAGAACACAACTACTTTATAATATGATCATGGGATATCCACTGCAGCTACATAAAAACAGGCATCATTCCCAAAATATAATTATAAACGGGCCTCTTAAGTATGTACTGTATACAAATTCAATTAGAGTGAGCTTGCTTTTGCTGGGTAATCTCATTTATATTAGGTCTAATTTGAGGCAAACAAACTGTCATCTCCTCATCAACACAAAGAGGCCTTTCTCTTTCCTGGTCTTTCATATTCGTCAGAGTTGAAAATCGCTGTTCGCAACAATATGTTGTGAACAACTGTAGAAGAACAGCCAATTCTCATCCTCTCATTTTGAAAAGCTATCTATCAATATTCTGCAAATTAAAAAATATATACCGTATTTACTCGGATCTAATGCTCAACTTTTTTTGGCCAAATTACGTTGCGAAAATTTAGGTGCACATTAGATTTAATGGCACATTTACATTCACCAGCAAATGCTTTTTTTGGTTTCAAGGTCCTGAAAAGGGACACTTTAGATTCAATGGTGCATTAAAGGTAAAGGGGAAAGGGACCCCTGACCATTAGGTCCAGTCGTGGCCAACTCTGGGGTTGCGGCGCTCATCTCGCTTTATTGGCGAATCAGAGCAGCGCACAGAAATTCCGTTTACCTTCCCGCCGGAGCGGTACCTATTTATCTACTTGCACTTTGAAGTGCTTTCGAACTGCTAGGTTGGCAGGAGCAGCGACAGAGCAATGGGAGCTCACCCCATCACGGGGATTCGAACCGCAACCTTCTAATCGGCAATTCCTAGGCTCTGTGGTTTAACCCACAGCGCCACCCGCATTAGACTCAAGTAAATACGGTATATACAATACTTTACGGTACTGAAATGTTTATACGTTGATTTGATTGTCCTTGAATTTTCCCACCACACTGTCCTGCCAACTCTTTGAGAACCACTATCTTAGAAGACAGAATCGGGATTCAAGATGACCTTAGCAGAATGGAGAACTGGGCCCAAACTAACAACATGAACTTCAGTGGGGACAAATGTAAAGTTCGGCACTTAGGCAGGAAGAACCAGATGCACAAATATAGGGTGGGGGGCACCTGGTTTACTAGTAGTACATGTGAAAAGGATCTAGGGGTCTTAGTAGACCACAAGTGTGATGCAGCAACAAAAAAGGCCTTCTCGCTAGTGGTGCCCACCCTGTGGAACACCCTCCCATCCGATGTCAAGGAGATAAGTGACTATACAACCTTAAGGAGACATCTGTTTCGGGAAGTTTCTAATGTTTGACGTTTTATTATGTTTTTATATGTGCTGGAACTTGCTCAGAATGGGCGGGGTATAAATAATGAAATTGTTGTTGTGGTGGTGGCTGTTATCTGAAGGCAGCCCTACACAGGGAAGCTTTTAATGTTTAATGTTTTGTTATGTTTTTATATATGCTTTATGTCTAATAATAATAATTGCTATTCTAGGCTGCAACAACAGAAGTATAGCGTCCTGATCAAGGGAAGTAATAGTCCCGCTCTGTTCTGCCTTGGTCAGACCATACCTGGAGGACTGTGTCCAGTTTGGGGCACCAGAACTTAAGGATACAGTGGTGCCCCGCAAGACGAATGCCTCGCAAGACGAAAAACCCGCTAGACGAAAGGGTTTCCCGTTTTTGAGTTGCTTCACAAGACGATTTTCCCTATGGGCTTGCTTCGCAAGACGAAAACGTCTTGCGAGTCTTGCGATTTTTTTTCGCTCCCCCCCCCTTTTTCTAAGCCGCTAAGCCGCTAATAACCTTTTAGCCGCTAAGCCGCTAATAGCGCTAATCCGCTAATAGGGTTGCTTCGCAAGACGAAAAAACCGCTAGATGAAGAGACTCGCGGAACGGATTATTGCGAGGCACCACTTGTATTGATAAGCTGAAACGTGTGCAAAGGAAGGTGACCGAGATGATCAAGGGTCTGGCAACTAAGCCTTATGAGGAACGGTTGAGGAGAAGAGAAGAACTAAGAGGTGATATGACAGCCATCTTCAAATATCTGAAGGCCTGTCACATGGAAGATAGACGAAGCATGCTTTCTGCTGCTCCAGAGGGGAAGACCCGAGCCAGGGGGTTCAAATGATAAGAAATGAGAACTTTCTGATGGTAAGAGCTGTTCATCAGTGGAACAGCTTCCCTTGGAAGGTTGTGGACTGTCCTTCACAGGAGGTTTTTAAGCAGAGGTTGGATGGTTATCTGTCATG